TCGTCCTAGCTTGCTTGAACCCTTTCAGGATCTGACCCTTGGCAGCACAAGGGATGACCTGTTTCTCCTCAGAGACGGCCATGTGCACAGTCAAATCGCCATACTACGATCCAACTCAGCCAGATCTGGGAAGCCTGGTCAATGCTCCAGGGGAGGGGAGGGAAGAGAGCATTAGCTTCCCAAAAGACTACACCTGAGACAACTAGAAGGCACGCTGTAATATTCACACAATGAATTGAGCCTTTATCAGCAATTTCAACTCCAGTTTATTCAAATAAAATTTAAAAAATAGGGCACAAAAAGATAAAAATTTAAAATTAAAAGAATGTACTAAAATGAGTTAAATCTGTATTTCTGAACCCTAGTCTCATACTTGATTCCAAAAATATGCCATCTCTGTTAACCTTCTAAGGTTAGAACCATTTCTTTTGCCAATAGTGATCAAAGTTTAGGACGCTATCTCTCTAAACCCTCTCCAACTCCCAGACTCCAGGTTTCTGTTTGTTTTCTCAGCATGGAAGAGGCAGCTGTGTGCTGCTTCTTGGCACCACCTTGTGGTCACACATGGACACTGTCCTTTCCAGCAACCCACCAAAGGAAGGAAACATTTCTAACAGTTCCCAGCTTCAAGCCTCAGCTCTGGTTCTGAGCAAGTTGATTATAGCATATTTGTGAGGGCCACCATAACTGTACAAGGCAAAAACAGGTATGCACAAACTCAAAGTTAGGGATAGTGAAGGTGTGTAAAGATATTCCCACCTTAATATGGCTACACACACACACACACACACAATTAAAAACAAGTGGAGGAAGATGGAAAGTCTGTAAGCTAAGCACAAAGATCAACTGCAACCAACTTCACTCAAAACAGTGGTTTCTTTCCTCTCCTGTGTCTAAGTGGGTGAAGATTATCTCAAAAGCAATGCCATACTGATTTAGGATTGACTAGAAAAAGCACTGCACCTCACACCCCAACGCCCATAACAATTTTTTCTGATTGCCTAAAAGGCAGAGATTCTCCTCTACCCAGGGCCCTCTTTTACATAAGGACAATTATCAAGGTATACTAGGAAATATTTCAGAGAAACCAAATTGGCCAAAAGTCACGGTCTCAGAAGGGAAACAGTAATCAACATACACATCTTGGCAGTTTGCAACTCAGAGAGTGCCGTGGCATGCCCGGACAAGTTTTTGGGTGGAATTTCCATGCTAGACCTGCACAGCATTCCTGGGGCCAAGGACCATCTTTGTGCTGCTAAGTTCTCTCCAGTGCCTGCTCCGTACTAAGGATGTATAGGCAGTTCACTCAGCAACTTAAACCACGGGCAGGAACAGAAGTGAAGCTTTTGGGTTTGAATTAAAGCTAAATGATACGTTTTAACATCCTCCTGCCAACAGAAACCACAGAAAGTCTTTGGGAATGAGCTTAAGTTAACCTTTGCCTCTCAGCCTGATCTGAGCAGTGATGACTGCTGCTGGGGAAGGAGGCCAGAGCCAAGGACATCTTTGTTTTATCATCTCAAGCAAATAGCTGGTAGAAACACAGTGGATGTCCCCTGTACCACCCCCTGGAGCCAGGTTGGACATCACTGAGGGACTCTGGTATTCCTTCCCGAAAGGCCTGGTTCTCCCCGAAAACAGACAGTGGAGCTGACAGGTCCAGGTGATGCTCAGTTTCTGTTAATGTGGACGGCTTGGACGCCACGCCTCTCAACGGTTCACTGCCGTCATACTCATCTCTAAGGCAGCACAAATCAGACCCCCAAGAATTGGTGGCCTCCAAGGCTCAAAGAGACAGAGCAGAAAAAATAATTACAGGGACAAAGGAAGGGAAAGTAACCCCGAGGCCTAGGAGCTCAGCTGTCTTTCCTGCTAGCTCACAGCCAAGAAACTTCAACACTCTGACAAAACTAAGAGTACCTACAGAGAAAACGCTAGGTTTCCTAAACGTGCTAACGGGATACTAAAAACAACAAATAAGCCCTGCTTGTTCAAGCCCATAATGTTTGTAACCTTGATGTACCTGTATCAGCACTCCTCCCTTATCCTTACACAAGACAGCGCACTTCATAAGACCTCTGTGCACCTTCATTTACAAATGGAAATTCTTTACAGTAAATAAGTAAACCAATTCACGTATTTTTACTTAATTTTTAAGCTGCTTAATCTTTAATCCTTACAAATTATATCTTTTGAGCAATGTAATTTAAAAAGCCACAAAATCACATTAAAACTGTTAAGACATCTAAGTGCTCTCTACTAAGAAGCCCAAAGCCATGTCTTGGGTACGTATCTCCTTGCTAAATATCCCTATCCACCATGCTGAAACCTGAAGTGCGTACTGTCCCTTATCTTCACTCTAAACATGCTAACTTTGCTTCACTGACTTGTCCTCACATATTCTGGGGTGTAATCCAGGGTCTGGCTTACCTAAGTGAGATCCCTGAGGGATGGCAATGCTGGACTGCATCTTTTTGTCACTGTCATGAATGGTTCCTTTTCAGGGACATACCTAGGTCAGCAGCAAATTGACCAGGTAGCACGAGGACCATGCTAACACATATGAGCTACTTAATAGGCAAGGCTTGCACAGGAATGAACTTCCTCCAGAGTCTCCTTCCCCCCTCGTCTGCGTTCACTGCTCCCTTCATACTATAAGGTTCTATACCTGTTCCTGTCCACTAACAAACAGCCTATAGACTTCTAACAAAAACCCTCAGTGCCAGCCCCAGGATGTAGACATGCACTGGCATGTGGAGGCACAAACCAAGCAAAAGAGCTGACCTTGAACCACAACTGGGAAATGAGTACACATCACCCAGGCAGCACGTGCCAGGCACAGGGGCACCGACTTGACCACCATGCTGGGAAAGTTACTATTCTGTCCTAGTGATCAGCCTTGACTAGGCAAGTAAACCTGTGTCTTGCCAGAACTCAGATAATTAAAAGCATGGGGTATGTTATCAGTTCCAGAAATTCTGTTTAGCTTGGACATTTCTCAAGCATCAGCATTATGTTAGGAAAGCCAGTCCTATGTGTGTACCTCCAGCAGGCATAGCTTCTACTTAGGGATATTCAGATCTGACAGTTCCTGGGTCTCACTGGAGGATCTGAGTATATGAAAGGAGTGGGAAACACACAGAAAGGGGCAGTTTACAAGTGGTTAGAACATCCTAGACTGACCTGAGAGCTTGGGGCTAGTCGGAGAAAGGATTGTGACTGCTCTTGTCCAGTTCTAGAAAAGGTATGCTTAAACTTTAACCAATTAAAAAAAAAAGTTTTCTACATTGGAAACTACAGATTTATTCTGACCATTCTAATCAGTCTATGATCAGCAACACTGAAGGTCTTTCAATCCAATGACTACCACTACAGCTTAATCTGTCTACAAAGAGCTGCAAGACATAACAGAATGTGATGACTGGCAAATTTCAAACATTAATATGCTTCTCAATCCTTACCATTCTATTTTAACATCCCCCAATCAAAAGAGCACCAAAGGAGATGTAATATAAACATTTCAATGTGTATATCTACCGCTTAACAGCCTTAATAACTAGCTATAAAATTTTAAGAGCTATCGTATTTTGGTGGCAATTAAGAATTATTGATATTTCTGAAATTCATTTGAGATTTTACTGTAACTTTAGCAAAAAATGGATTGTGATATGGCTTTGGAAATAATAAATTGTTTTACAATCTTAACATTATTAAAAAAAAACTTACTGCCATGAAATTAAACTATACCCATATTTAAAATTCAATCAAAATAAATTGCTATGTTTAAAATACATTTAATATTGACCCAGTTTAATGAGAAGACTACATATTGCTTCATTTATAATCAATATGTTATGATTAACATTTTTATTAATTTTCCACAGTAAAGACTGACACTACTCACTCTTTAAGATTATTGAGCAGTATTCCTCAAACGTTACAGCTACTGGGTGTGCAGACTAATGTTGCAGTGGGAAATGACAAAGAGCCGCCCCTTCCTATCAATGGAGTTGCTTCTGGAATGCAGTGTCACTGGGCCTCGAGTTACTTTAAGAACCTCTGAAAAGGCTGTGCAGTGTATGTGAAGCGTGGACTAGGTTACCTCGGTTCTGAAGTAAAGAAAATCAATAGGTCAACTTTTCCAGGAAGGCCCTGAGAAATCCACCTGAAACACTATCAATTAGCTTTCCCCTCATTGAGAAATAAAAGCACTGTGGAAGATAGGCCAGAGCCATCCCAATAGTAAATATTTCACAAGTACCATGGTTCCTTTTCTCCTCTGACTTTAGCAGAATCCCTACTGAGCTCAGATAAAAGCCCTGGGCCTACAGCGTGCGAGGCGCCTTCCCAGCTCACAGAAACTACCCAGCGACGGTGACTGGAACCCCACACGGACGCTCACCTCCACTTATCTCACATCAAGTGCTGACAAAGTCCTCAAGGAAAAAGCCAACTCAGCCTCAGCAACGGCAAATGGCAGCGAGGGGGACGTGGGCTGTGCACACAGTGTATCGTCAGCATTGTGGTGGTCTATTATCCTGTAGACAACTATTTTCTCAAAATCAAGGGAGCAGGGAAAGAGCACTTTCTCTCATACACCAAAACACAAGCTTCACCTAATTTTCTGAAAGAAATTTCTCTAAAGTGAATATCCTACTTCATAAGAAAAAATCCAAGGCACAGCACCACCTTCTCCTTCCCCAACAACTGCAGGATGACAACTCTGGGTCAAGACCACCCAGCTCATGTCAGTCCTCTCAGCTCTTGCCCATCCCTCCCCTTGGCTCCTCATCCCAGACTTGCCTCTGAATTAGTTAGTATAAAGGCTCTGAAGTCTTTGGGCCAGCTCCACTAAGGAGTCCATGTCCAGATTCTTGTGGGCTAAGGCAGCGAGGCCAGCGCCTGCACACCGGGGTCTAGTACAAGGCGGACTTAGAATGCTAAGATCTTTAAAAGCGGCCTCCTCACATCCAGGGAGCAGCACGTGCCCACACACTGACCTTAACCGCTGCTTATAAGAATCCTCATCTCCGTCGTCTCGACACCTTGCTACCTTGCGACCTCCTCCTCTTCCTTCCATAGCTTCATCTTCCTCCCCAGAACTTGGGAAAAAGTCATCATCAACCTCCTGCACTGGGACTTTCTTCTGGTATTTCCGGCCCTTCCGAAGAGGCTTCAATTCATAGCTGATGTCATCGGAAGACAGGCTGGCTACCCCTTCTTCCTCCTCCTGTTGCTCTTCCTCCTCCTCCCCTTCGGTGGAAAAGGACCCAGACTCCTCACCCTCAGTGTCTCCCTCTGCCTCTGGCCTCACCTCAGGCTCCCGAGGTTTCTTCCCCCTTGGCAATCCCACTTTCCCCTGGAACTGCAGCGCCCTCTTCTGGAGCTTCCTGATGTGCTTCTTCAAGCGCTTATCTGCCTGAGAGAGGACCTGGCCTCTTGGTTTTGGCTTACTTTCACTTGGTCCTGGGCTTGACTCCGATTTGGCCACGGCTTTTTTAGCTGCTCTTTTGTTAGCAGCTTGTTTCTTCCTTTCAAACGACAGTTGTGCTTGGTCTGCCAAATATTTTTCAAAGCCTGATACTTCATTGAGCATTATTTTTCTCGGCTTTTTCTCCTGTTTCTGGGGGGTTGGGGTACCAAATGGTGTCATCTGGCCAGTGCGGATAAGCTCTTCCCAGGCGGTCTCCTGGGCAGGCATGAGCATACTGCCAAGACATGACGGCCCTGGCTCTGAAAGGAAACAGTGAAGACTGGAGTCAAAACCCTCAGCAGCACACAGGACACAATCCCTTACTCGCAGACAGTGAGAACTTCCAATAATTCACAGAACAAATCAGTGGACTGCAGCACAAAGTTTATTGTGACGTCTACAACCCATGGGTTATATATTCCTGTCTTGAAAGGTGATTTTTCAGTGGCCCCAAACATGATACCACGTGACTGTGGTACACTACGCCACAGAACCCTAGACAACCATTCTTAAAAAGGATGACCTTTGCACCTGTGACAGCACAGAACCGACAACTACGAGAAGTGACACAAGCCAGGCATACAAATACAAGTACTGTATGCTCTCACTGTGTGCGGGCTCCAGGGGAGCTGATCTTCACAGAACTCAGGGTAGAATGGTAACTAGCAAGGCTGAGAAGAACCTCAGGGAGGAAAGACTAGGCTGATCCACGGACTAAGTCCCAGATGAATAGAAGCGGGAAGTCTGTGGTGCCATTCCACAGTAGGAGTGCAAAGAGCATATATGTTTCAATAGCTGGAATAATGGTCTTAGATGTTTTTAACTATTAAAAAAAATGATAACTATTTGAAAAGACAAATGTTTAACCTAATTTACACACTACATAATATATACACATTGAAATATCACATGACATCCCATAAACTAAATGTTTACCTTTCTATACATTAGTTCTTTTGTCTAACTTTGAATTTGAATAAAAATGTATCACATGATAGTCATCCGCACTATGCAAAGGCAGCTTATCGATACATTACTGGTTACAGACAAACTTAGCTGTGTCTTATTATCAGTTAAGAAGTAGGCACGAGAAGTGATCCCCGCATTCCATGTCATTGCTTTGCCCACCACTCAGACGGACCTTAGTTCATCTAAGGATCAGCATGCCCATCTAAGAAAGACACAAAGTACTAGCTTTGCACACAAAGTGCTAGAGAGTCACCACCACTCACTTCTATCACAATGTCTAACCTTTCAACACTGCCACAAGACACCGTCATCTAGTTGGCTGTACTCATAGCTATCCGGGGATACATGTGGCCCACAGGACACAGGTAGGTTCACTTCAGAAATGTGAAAACTGAATTCCACAGCTGTAATACCTGAGTGCTCAGTAGGCAGATGTGACCGATGGTCAGCACACTGAATAACAAACAGAGAGTTCTTCCTGATGCAAAAAGGGCTACCAGACAGCTGGGAAGATGGCTTGCTGTGAAAACATGAGGACCTAAGTTTAAATCATCTTCAGTATCCAAGTAAAGCCAGGCATGGTCACAGTGGTGAAACCCCACCATTAGGGGAAGAGGAAACAGACCCTGCAGGTTTGCTAGCTAGCCAGACTAGCCGAAACAGCAAGCCCCCGGTTCAGTAAGAAATCCTTTTCCAAGAAATAAGGTCTAAAGAAATGACAAAGGAAAATTCTTGATAGCTCTTGCTGGTTTCCACATGAGCACATGCACACCCATGCATACACACACACACACACACACACGCGCGCGCGCGCGCGCCCCTGTTGAATGACACCATGCTAGACATGTGATGTCGATAATAAGAAAAGATGAACTAAACATGAAAACATGCCAACTATAGTCACCCAGAAACACCCCTCTCCCTAACCGAAGCGACCTTCAGAAAAATACTTTATCCTGTAGTCAGGAGACAAAGGACACACCAGGCTGACGCCATCACAGCCAGCTCTTCACTAACCCTGTACTGATAAAATGTACCTCAGAGTCCACAAATGGTACGTTCTGTGAAAATTCAGGAGAAGAATCTATGGTGATGTATCAGCATCCAGATCGAGTAATAGAAATTACTAGTATTCCCGGAACACCCTCCATGCACCTCCACAGCCTCCAGCCTCCCCAGATACTGACAGGCTGACTCTAAGGATGCCTCGTGCCTGGCTCGGTGTTTCCTGTCTGCCTGTATGCCTGGCATGTGAGATCCACACTGATTTGTTAAAGTGAGTTGAAATTTATTGAATGTTAATAATTTTATCCTGTGATTCAGCCATTTTCTCTTTCCACTATTGATGTAGTTTCGGTGGTTTCTGGGTTTGGGCTACTAGGCATTAGAACGAGGCTGCCATGAATACGCTAATATACATCCTTTGGTAATAGCGTGCATCTGATTCTTGAGTATGTTAACACTTTTCAGCCATGAAGAGATTTGCAAAGTGGCACTAGCTTAAGTTTCAATAGTGTTTAAAAGTTCTTGCCATTCCATGATTTTGCTGATTCTCAGTAAAAACAGAAGACCTTTCAGAACCACAAATCTTATGGACAACTGGGTTTTGTGTACAAAATCTCATTCTTAGTCTCTGCCTTATCCTTTTTCTAGGTTTTTAAAAACGCATTAGAAATTCAAGTCCTTCGCATGTGCCACAAGTATCCACCTGCTCTGCAGCCTCCCTTCTCCCAGTCTGAACCTTGACAGGCGGAGGCTCTCAGAATTATTGGCTGTTACTGGAGTCCATTTAACAAACTCTTTTCTTCCATGTGCACATTTTTTTGGTCTTGCTCCAGTCTTTGCCTCCCCTGCCTCCCAGGATCATATAACGTTTTCCCTGGGTTATGTTCTCAAAGGTTTTTATAATTAATATCAGATCTATGATCTTCTTGCAATATATATTTGTACACAATGTAATGGTTCAAGACTCCTCTTCCCACTAATATGAAATTTCATATAATTCAGATTAGTAGTATTGATCAAAAGACTGTTCAGCATAGTACTGCTGGCTTTCTTTAATCATCATCAAGTGACTCTACATAAGTGGCCTGTTTCCTGAGTCTTCGATTCGTCCACCAGCCTGTCTGCATATCCTCATGCCAACACCACGCTGGCTTAATCACTACAGTTTTATGTTACATCTTGGCATTCTGTTCTTTTCTTGGGTAAGGAGTGGTAAGACAAGGCCTTACTCTGTTGGCTAGGCTGGCCTCAAATTCAGAGCAATCCTCCTGATTCAGTCTCCCAAGAGCTGGGATTGCAGATTTTAGCATCAGCTGGTTAATGATCTCGAACTTCAGCCTACATGTCTTACACATGCCATTTGTCATCTTTAAAAGGCTCAAATTTGTATTGGGGTAGCAATGAAATTACAACGGGCTAAATGACATCTTTATAACACTGTATCACCATCCTCAACCACAATATATCTCCCTACTTACTTTGGGTTTTTTTGTTTGTTTGTTTGTTTGTTTTTGTCAATAATATTTTGCAGTTTTTTGATGTATAAAACATTGCTGAACTTTTTTTTTTAAGTAAGATTTATTTCTAGGTATTTGGATTACAAGTGGCACCTTTAATAACGTTTATATTTTATTTTTTCTGGCATATAAAAATGACTGATTTTTGTGTACTATGTACTCAATTCTATCTCTAAAAGTCATGAGGTAATTCTACATAAATTCTTTTAAATTTTCTATATAAACCATCACATGGCTGTGAATAATGATGGATGCTTCCCACCTTTACTCTTTGGGCCTCCTTTCTTCTACTCCCAAAAGACCGTGTGGCTAAACAGAGAAGGTGAGCACATGTTTCTGCTGCCCTGCAGATCACACCGGCAAAGCCAGACCTCATCGTGTCTGCAATCCCACCATGGACGCAAGGGCTGCTGACACAATCACCGTGTGGAAGCAGCAAAGCCACGTCCTCAGGAAAGCATGTGGGCAGTCCACTCCCCTGACACCTGCTACACAGCTCCAGGTGGGCTGAGGGGGGTCCACACCCCACGGTACAGAGCCAGCACCCCAAAGCCTGGCTACTCTGGCACTCAGCTCTATGGCCTCTGCAGACAGGGACAATGAGAGAACCCAGTCTCCAGTGATGGCTGGTGGTCAGATGGGGAAGGATCCTGGGAACCAAAAAAATCAGGAAAAAAGGGGGGGCTATGGTTTGTAAGAGATCAGATCCTAGGTGGCTGCAAAATCCATGGGAAATGGATAAAGTACTCAGAGAGAAAACAACATGAGCACTGAACAAGTCCTAAGCAGTATCAGTAAGATACTGCTGGATACGCTAACCCAAAATTACTACCCTGAACTGCGCAGAGGGCAGAAAAGAAACCAGGAGACAGGCTCTGACACTCTCTCAAGGCACAGGCTGTATCAGTTGCTATCAACAGGCTGGACTCGGCAGAGGTAGAAAGAGGCTTCAGGATTTGGGGAGGTATCTGTGAACTCTGCACTAAAGCATCAACAGAAGAGAAGAACAGCAGGCTTTTGACAATGGACAGAAATGGATCTCCTTTACCAGTGAGAAATCCAGTGCCCAGGTGGCAGGAAGCACCCATGACTGGACTAATGGATCAGATGACAATGAAGTTTAACAGCAAATCTAAAGCCAGGATGAGGACATACACCTAATGCAGAAAGACTACAATTTTGAGGCTAGCCTGGGCTATACAGTGAGATCTCGCTTTAAGACAGAGAGATAGGAGAGGATAGCACATTTATTTATTTATTTATTTATTTGTTTGTTTGTTTATTTATTTATTTATTTATTTACTTATTTATTTATTTATTTATTTATTTATTTATTTATTTATTTATGTCCGCTGTTAACATTCTTCATACCAATCCACTTGTCTATGTGAAAAAAAGTTCCAGGAGCTCGTAGAGACATTTGCTTGATCAGCCAAACTCTAAGAAGCTTTAATCTTTAATCTATATTTCAAGCAGGAACTAGCCAAGCAACCACCAATAGCATATAAATACAGACTTCTGGTATTGATATATTTTATATATTTTACTTCTGGTGTTGATATATTTTCCAAGAGATTTTCCAAAGCACATCCACCCTGAGGAGGACTTTAAATGAAATCCTGGCCGTGGTCTAACCTTAATGTCCTTCCTTAACAGAATGAAGACCCGCAACGCTCCTTTAAGGTAAGTGAGAACAATCCCACGGACACGGACTGACGAGGCTCGGCACCGCGAACAATCCTACAGACACTGACCGAAGAGGTTGGGAGTACAAAATGGACCCAATCTATGTTCATTCTCTTTATCAAATTACATGTATGCAAATGTCTAAATTTCCTATTTGTTAGCCTGATACTAAATGTGCATCAGTAACTACCAGAAAACCAGGTTAACGTTTTATTTCAGTCTCTAAAAAGCGTGTCACTTAAGAGCTCTGGTCCCTCAGAAGGATAAGATTTCCCCAGAGCCATTTGACACAAAGGCAAAGCAATGCATTATTCTCAAAACTCAGAAAAGGACTCACAAGACACACCCCCTGAATCCAGGCACCAGGTGCCAATGAAGAGCATGGCAAGCTGGCCCCAGCATCCTCACCTTCATCTTCTTCCTCCAGGCTGGCATGATCCAGTTCCACTTGGACCCCGGCCCCTCCAAGGATGGCCTGGAGACGTTTCTGCTTTGCAGTTATCTTCTTTAGCTGTTGTTCCTTGAATTGTAAACCCCAAATACAAGATACACAATACAGTGATTTACTGTTAAATATGAAAGATTGCACAATTTAAAACTTTAATCAAGACTAAACTAAGAATGAAATTGAAACTCCACGGTGGTTTCCTCTTTGAGCAGCTCCCACTTTGCTGCAGCACGCAGGCTTGAGCAGGCAGCCCTCACCCTTGGGCCTGAGCACTGAGGCCACATGCGCTGACTTGAGAGGTGGAAATGTTCTCTGCATTCCCTCTACCCACTCCAGTTACATCGCTAAATTCTGTTTCTGATCTTGGCAGCCAAGGCTACGGCAGGCAACAGGCTAGAGTGATGAGAAAATACAAAAATACAAAAGCTTCAACTGTTAGAGAGTCATTGATAGCTGGCTGTGAATGGCGTCCCTTGTAGTATTCTACACCATCAAAAACTTTGAAAGACACTGTTATGCCTTCTTCCCCATGTTATTGAGACTCCTTTTTGTCTCCCTTGACATGTACAGAACTCAGGTGTGTAGCCTTCCTACAGCCTCTCAACTAACCAGACCTCAAGGGCTTCCACTGTATTCATGGAGAAGAATTCTTGCCTAGTGCACACAAAGCCCTGGCCTTGCACTCCAGCATCAGAGTGAGGGACAAAGGGAAACAAAACTGCGTGCTAACATGACTGGCAATTAGTTGTTTTCTCGGTCTTCTCAGCAATCCTACTTAAAACACTTCCCCTCTGAAAATCTTAAACACTGAGGTCTAGCTAAAGAAAGATAGGGAAATGTAATCAGGTCATACCATGACCCTGCCACTTAAAGTTTGGTCTTCTCCACCCTTAAAATCCCAGCCCACAAGAAGCCTAATGTCCCTTTCTGTCTTATGAAGGTTCCATCCACACTAAACTACTGCCAGCTTGGACATCTAGGCTGCTACTATAGAAATGAAGAGCTGGGTGAGATAATGGGGTACTACGTGGAAAATAAAAGGAAGGCCACATGAACTGAGTCCACACACAGACCTTACTATTATAATAATGAGGCACAAGTATTCTACATGCTGCTGTGAATCAACTTCAAGCACAAAGATATCTGCTGGCATCAGAACTAAAACCATCAATGCTGATCATTGCTGATCATTCCTAGCTACTGGCATGAATTTTCACAAGGTGGTACACAAATCCCAAAACATATTTCAAACTTCAGAAAGCTGTATATAAATCCTACCCTTAAAAGCCACAGAAAAGCGACATCATAGGTAACAGTTCCTTCCTACCCGTGAGCGCTCTTCCTCTAAGGTCAGCCCCGTGTGGCTGTGCTGACTATACCCAACGCAGAGATGGGATGTGAGAGTGATGATGCTGTATCCACAGGAAACAAAGAGAACACACTGGGGTAAGCAAGACCTGAGCAGGATAGCTAAGTCCAGACAGAAAGACACTGAGCCAGAGGCCAGGTCCCAAGCAGAGGCTGAAATGGTAGAGTAAAATGGTACAGGGAAGACTATAATAGAGCACAGCAGTGAGGTAGCATACAAACCACACAAGAACTACACTCAAGGGGCTGGAGAGATGGCTTAGAGGTTAAGAGCACTGTCTGCTCTTCCAAAGGTCCTGAGTTCAATTCCCAGCAACCACATGGTGGCTCATAACCATCTATAATGAGATCTGGTACCCTCTTCTGTACATGTACCCAGACATTGTATACATGATAAATAAATAATTCTTTAAAAAAAAAAAAAAAAAAAAAAAAGAACTACACTCAAATACATATAGATGGATGGATGCATGCATGAATATACATGGATATATATCTGTGTATATGGGTTATTAAACATACTGTAGAGCAGAGCTGACAGATCACACATATAAAAGGCACCCCAAATTTTCTATTGTGGGATTAGAGAGCCAGCTCAGAGATTAAGAGCAATTACTACTCTTACAGATGTCCTGGGTTCAGTTCCTAGCATCCACGTGGTGGTTCACAACTACCTGTAACTCCAGTTACAAGAGAGCATGCCCTCTTCTGGCCTCTTCAGGCACCAGGCACACACACACACGGTGCACATACATAAATGCAGGCAAAACACGCATACACTTAAAAATAAATCCTTTTAAAAAGGTTTTTCTTTTATTATTATAGCATTGCTTCACCTAACATATGCACTCTCCAGAAGACTTCCTAAATTCTTAAATGGTCTTGAATTTTAACATTTTTAATGCAGTACTTAGTAGGTTACTTCGCATCACCTTGTTATACTTCTGTCGTTTCACAGAGTCCAGCTTCCTGTTGATATCTCTGTTGGTGGCAGCTTGAGGGCTAAGTTGCTCTATAATTTTATTGATTTGTCTTAGGGATGTTGTACATGACCTGAAAAATAAGAATGGTCTGTTTTTCTCCTTGGTAACATTTTCATAGCACTAAGCAGAGGAAAATGTTAAAACTGTGTCTATTTTACTTCTTAGGAGCTGAAACTAAACAAAACCAAAGCAGAATGCATTCTTGATAGCCACAAATAGATTAGAGGCATAAAATAAGTAACAGTGCTATTCTCTTCTCTGGATGGCTTAAATCAGCCCATGCCTGTTTGCAAATTGACTCATGTCTTCTTCAAGCATTTTTTTAGTGTCTACTTTACTCAAGACAGTGGGATAAGGACAGAACTCAGTCCATGTCTCCTTTTACACATGGAAAAACTGATACACATCACAGAAGCTCCCAAAGTTTGAAAAAGTCCTAAAAATGGTTAAATCATTTTCTTGACTGAATCACTTGTCTGTGAAAATATTTTCCTTTCACAGAACTAGAAATTCCTCTACTGTAACAGTAAACTTCATGGTACAAATAGAAAAGAACAAATGAAAATTAGTTGCTAGAAGGAGCAATTTTGTTAAAATAGTCAAAATAATACAAAACTGTTCCTTCTAACTTTTAAAAGAGAAAATCAATCTCATGATTTCCTGTTTGTATTCTTTGCAGATTTCAGGGTAACGGTGCAAGTTACTGGCTCTCTAAGGCAGTAAGTCCACAGCATTCTCCTCTGGCACCTCTATAGAAAGTGGATACAGCAGGAGTGGTGGCACACGCCTTTAAGCCCACCTCCCGGGAGGCAGAGGCGGGCAAATCTCTGTGAGTTCCACGACAGCCAAGGCTACACAGAGAAATCCTGTCTCAAAAAAACAAAAACAAAGAACAAAAAACAACAGCAAAAAAAAAAAAAAAAAGGTGGACACAGTTCCAAGATCAATCATAGAAGGTGGGCCACTGCATGGAACACGAAAGATTTCAAAACACTTAAGTAAAAGATGTGTTACTCAAGGGACAAAAACTGAATAATAATAATAATAATAATCACAATAATATTTCAATTAAAAAAAAACAATTGGAGACAAAAGTACCTATAGAAACCTAGACACAGCCCCTTGGGCTGGGTAGCACTTCCAGCTCTGTGCTCACTCGCCTGCCTCCTTCTCCAGCCATGCACTGGGGTTTCTTCCAGTCTGTATTCACTTACTTCTATGTCTGACCCTGCCTAGGCACTGCCCCGAGGATGAGTGAGGTGCACACATCACTACCTCCCCATCCTTGACCTCTCCCTCAGGCTGGCCTGCCACCTTTCCCAGAATACTCCACTCAGTAAAGTCCATGTCTCTCTCCTCTGCAACACAAACGAAGTTCCCACAAGACTTAATATTTATTTACAGCCAAAAACAAGACACAAAAAATTGAATGGCAGGGGATTTTTCATTATTTTTATACATTAAAGTCTGAAAGGCTGCCAAAAGAATAAACACCGTTTCGGAAAGAGCAAACACTATAGACATTATAGGAGAAAGAAAAAGGAGATGATGGGTGACAAGAGTTCCCTGTATCTCAAGTATGAAACTCCCAGAATTCACTGCTAAGAGCACTCTGCATGTGCTTTCAGAACAGCCTTTCTCTTCAAGACCCTAGGCAATGGCAGGCCTTCAGTAGCTGATCTGAGCCCCTACCTATAGGCAATGTTGTTCTGAAGGGAGGGACAGAAGCTCAAACGGCAAACTGAGGATTATCTTAACCAACTGTTTCCCAGGTGAGAGGTTCCATAAATCTCAGCTTTCTAAAATCTAAATTTTCCTGTCATATTTCAATGCAAACTCTGAAAAACTAAGGGCTACACTCACATGAGGTCATCCAGGACTGCCTGATACTCCTTCTCCGCATCAGCAATCTGGGCCACACGGCTGGCCTCATGCATTGCGCTGTCCACCTGCTGAAGCACTCCTTGCTCCAGGACGGCCTGGTCGTAGACATCCACACCCAGGCCCTGCAGTTCCAGGGCCTGCGCTCCCGGCTCCACTGCGGGGATCTGATGCCGATCAATGTGTAGCAAGGTTGGCCCTCGCCTTGTGGCTTCGGATGTGGATGGCCGGTACTCACAGGAAGCAGAGGAGAGGCACTCTCTAGCCTCCGATACCCCACCATTCTCCTGCCCAGCTGACAAGCCTTCGTTAGCACTGACATGCTGACTTGGTAGACAGTCTTGCTCCTGAGGTTGAGCTGTGTTGGAGATTTCCTCGTGGGGCATCCTCTACAAACTATCTAAAAAGAAAAGGAAAACATTGGTAACCCTTTTGAATCGATCATTACATTTCTTAAATATGTTAAATGCACGAATTTCTCAAAACAGCAATAACCTTCCAATTAAATAGGTTCAAGTTTCTAAATACTAACTTCTTTAAAGAGTACAAATGATAAGCACAAAAAGCTAACCAAAATACAGTAACAACAAAGGACAAACACATGGGCAGCTCCCTGAGAAAGGCCCGAGTAACAGCCACATTTCACCTGTTCTAAACAGGTAAAATGACCCAGCTGCTATCCTGCCAGTTAACATCTTCGCTGAGCCGTGGCACAAATGCTTTATGTTAGAGTAGCATGGCCAACTGTTCAGTACAGTATCAGTAATGTGAAAATTTCTGTAGTAACCACACTAGAGACTTCTAAGCTGAATACCCATGGAATAAATAGAGCACATCCGAAGCTCAAAGAGTAAGTTAGAAAAATCCTCAAAAGATAACTCCATTCCAGATGTGTTTACCAAATCTCTACCTTTAAGGCCCGGGATCTATATGGACAAAGTGCAGGAGAGATTGTATGGGTCAGAGGTGGTAAATGACTCCAGGGAAACTGTCTTCTAGACACAACAGGACCGACACACAAATGAACTCAGAGGATGACACATGTGCAAGACCAGAACAGGTTAAAACCAGATAAAATCCCAGATCTGAGAAGGGGAGTAGACATAAGCCCCGTCCCTAACCAAGAAGCTATCTGCAAACAACACCTGCTAGGAAAGGGAAAATCAGTTTCCTCCAATGAAGTGTTACTGGGAATATTAGCCCTATGTCCAGGAGTTTGTCTATTCTGATTCTTGCTTTCTGTTGTTTTCCTTGGTTTTATTTTTGAGAGAGAGAGAAAAACATGAAGTAGTGGGTAGGGAGGTGGGGATAATCTGGAAGAAGTTGAAAGAGGGAAAAAGTAATATCAAAATATACAGTATTTTTAAAACTTTAAAATAAATTTAAAAAAAACTCCATTTCAATAATTTCTCATCCATCAGGTCGGCAGGCACAACAGACACTAATATAAGCAAGAAAAATTCACTTCACATGCTGTTGGTAGGAATATAAATTAGTATAGCCCCTGTCAGAGACAAACACAGACTGCATACAGAACATCTGAAAAGACCTATTCTATATCTGTAACAGCTCAAGGAGGCTTCAGGAGCAGGGAAGGGGAAAATGATCTTTCACATCTTATCACATACTCAGGAACTTCCTGAAAGAGAACATACTATATTAGTGGTATAACACCAAAAAAATAAAAAAAAAATAAAAAAATAATAAAAAAAACCAGGTGACAGCTATGCTTTCTAGTTAGCTGTAGAAAGACTACTAAACTTTCTTTAGGCACTGAAACTTTATTTCTAATAAGTAACCATAAATAACCATAATAAATAACCACACACAACCCACTCATTTCTCATGGAATGAAATATCCCAGCAACACTAGGATATAAAAATGCCAACAACTGAGCAGCCTCTGCCTTTGGTGAGAAGCCAATCAGAGCATGTCAGTTGGTGGGAGTATGGTCAGGACACTACTTGAGCTCAGGGGAGGAAACCATGCACCAGCTCTAGGACCCAAGAGTACCAGAGATGAACTGGGATTTGAATACCTGGCCACAGGTTGATGGAAGGGACATTCAATCTGCTGAAAGGAAGTACAGTTTAGAGAGGAGTCCAAAATAAAAGGGTGGCCTAGGTGACTGAGTCACAGGGAATTCCATCACAGGAAAGACTCTCAGAAAGCACGAAGACAGGAAATTGAAATGGGGGCTTCTGAGTCAGTTGCAAATCACAGTACTGCTACACAGTGTGGTCCAAATGCAAATCCGAGTCCAAGGGGGAAGAGCTGGGCAGATGTGGACAAAGTTCAAAGGGCAAGCAGCTCCAGAGGTCCTGAAGCTCTGACAGGAGCCAAAGATCACCTGTCAAAAGAGGGTGATGGTAAAAAGAAAATATTCCTCCCCTAGGGGGCTTTCTGATTATCTTCAGAAAACAAGTCACCCTCCAACAGAAGGTGGAATTCTGGTTTAGAGCCTTGTACGAACTGGAATTCAAAATCCACTTACTCAGAGCTTAAAGAAATTTCTTTTCTCATCTTTCATGTACAAAGGGATTTATTTTTAAGTTAAAATGTCAAAGTCAAAGATAAATTTACAAATAAAATTTGAGGAAACTAATCATTTTAAGCAGGGGAAAGTAATGATTAAAAGAAATAAATGGGTTGATTACATAAGAAAAGCAGGATTCAGTCGATTGGGACACTGGCAGCTCACTGGGGATACCAGCAAAAGAAGTTTGCATGGTGGCAAACGCTGTAATCGAAGCACTTGAGAGGTTGAAGCAGGAGGACAGTGAGTTCCAGGCCAGCCTGAGCCACACAGCTATACCATTTGAAAACAAGCAACAAGAACAAAAGCAAGTGGGGAAGAACTGAATGAAAGAACCAGTGGAGTAACATACACAAAAACTAAACAGCAAATGAGGTCAGCAGGCAACAAGGCAAAGGAGGACACAGGGAGGCAACCTACCTCTTTAAGGACCTTGGCTACATAAGGAAGAAAAATAGGGTGATAAATAACCTGAGGTTTTGTTGGAAAGTAAAGAGAAAAAAAAAAAAAAAAATATATATATATATATATGGCAAGAAGAAAATATAATGTCATAAGGAAATGACAGAAAACTGTGCAGCAACCAGAGAAGGTGCAGAGTAGAGGTGAGCAGAAGACCCAGCACGGGTTATCTGCTTCTCACTGAAGAGTCCTGGTGTCCACAGATGCAAAACGAAGTTGAGGGGGACTACAGAGAGGATAAACTCCCTAAGAAGAAGCCTGGGCATTTCCTAAATCAGTCAAAGTTGAGAAGAGGGGGGTATCTGGGGCAAATGTCTGGATTGACAAAACTCCAGTACTGTACTGTACTGTACAGTTCCCTCCGCCTGAAATGTGCAGGCCTTGCAGGAATGTCATTCCTTACGATGGCCAGAGAAGTGGTAGCACAAAGGAATAAAAATTAAAGGGGCTAAGACGGGCAGTTGAAGTGACAGCTTGGAGTTCATGGTGGGTGGGCTTTTTATTTTATTTTTTTGATCAGAAAGGAAGTGGAAGAAGGTAAAAAGCCATTCAGCTTCTAGCTATAGTTGGAAGGGGGAGGAGAAGTAAATCTGAAGGCTTTGATCAAAGTTAAAATTTCAGAGGTGAAATAAATCACAAATTTTAACAAATTGTTACTGACTCAATTACAGCAGGCATTAGGCACACTCGTCCAGCTGTGCAGAGCTTAGATCCTTGGGAGGCCAGGAATTTTTAAAATAACAATGGTATGGATATATACAAGTGCAACCGTGGTGATGGCCATAAAAACAATATATAGAACTCCACAGTAAGAGAGACCTAAGTGACACTGTGAAGGTAGGTGGGAGGTGGAGGTGGCCTCTCTGACAAAGTAACATTCTAAAGGATAGACAGGATTTAATCAAGGTCAAAAGCAGGGTTACCATCTTGCAATGAGATAATGAAAAAAAAAAAAAAAAAAAAAAAGGCTAGAACACAGTGACAACTTATTTGTAACCAAGTTAAAGAACTGATTAGAGCCTTGCTCGCTGTGTAAACCTTACAGAACCGCTTTAGATACATCCAAGATTTACAAGGCTGGGAAAAACAGACTTGCGTCTTGGGGTTTCTGTAGCCAAGACTGAGCTGGATTAGGGTTTGGAGAGTTACCTGCACGGTTTTGAGAACAGGCAGCCAAGAAGGACCAAGTCACACAAGTCTGGGGAAAAACAAACAAACAAAAAACAACAACAAAAAAGAAAAGAAAAAAACCTGCTCTTAGACTTCATTTCACGAAATGGCTCTCAAAGGGTTTTACGCGGGATGATAACGGTGGGATCCGATAAATACCCAGTTTGGACACTGTATGGGTATAAAGGAATAGCGACGCAGGAGGTGGTCTAGTAAAAACAGTTATTAGGTAGTCAGGAAGAAAACGAGGAGAGCTTGGAAGAGGGCTACAGCAGTGAAGATGACTCCACAAGGGATGCCAGGTTACAGCCCTCAACATCTCAATTCTTCCCACTCAACTTTGCATCAGCGCGAAAGGCGCTGGGGGTGCCCTGCCCGTACCCTCCCTCTCAGGCACGCCATTATGGCAATCCAGACCCAACCGTGCCCCGCAGGCCCTGCACGCTGGCTCCCATTCACAAACCCAGAAGCAGACAGACCCCCGCCCGCCGCGCAGGGGAGAGCATGCGCCAGCGTCACTTCCGGCCTCGGGTTAGCTTGCCGGAAGACGCCCGGCCCCGCGGGTCGGAGAAACCACCGCTCGCTCCGACAGACCCTGCAGCAGGAGGCTAGACGCCAAGGCGCGGGGCCACGACGGCATAGCGAGCCGGAGACGCAGGCACCCACACCCGGCCTTCCGTCCGGCTGCCGGTCACTTACCCGGGACCATGCGGCCGCCCAAACGAAATCCCAGTCGCCTCAGCCGCTGCGGAACGCCGAGCCCTTAGAGCATGCGCCCTAAGTCTGTGATCAGCACCGCCCCTGAGGGCTGGCCAGGCCAATGGCGCATGCGCCTCGCCGCGCCGTTTGTTTGTAAGCAAGGGCGTGCCACGTGCGTTGGCCGAAAGGTGCAGCTCGCACGCGGCCTTTGTCCCCGGGCTAGGTTGGACTGTGTGGTCAGCTTGTAGCTCTTTGGGTGGCTTGGGTCACCCTCCGCAAACGTTCTCTCTCTCGTGAATTAGAAGATATTTTAATGCCAATGACTGACTTGCAGGTGCAGGTGCACGCATCGTTTGCTTTTGGCGTCCTCTTCGCCTTAGTCTTCTGGCACGTCTTTAAACCTAAGGGTAAAAAGCGCCCTTATCACCGCTCACCATCCCTACACCCATGCACGCACACCCGGGCAGGGCACCTCAGGGTATGCACCGTGGGCTGTGGATGTAGGTAGATGGCTTGATTGCGTTAAGTCGCTTAATGTTCGTTAACATCGAAGCCCTATAGTAGAATTCTCTACCCTACCAAGAATTCTAACTTGGAGAATATGGAGGTGTCCTCACAGAGGTGAGAATTTATAAAAAGAAAGCCGGGCCTCCTATGAGGTAGCTCTGTTAAGCTGGGAACGTCTCAACCCAGGAATGCCAACAAACAATGGAGAAGATGGAATTGTCAGGGTCCTCCGGACAAAGCCCTGTGTGAATGCACGGAACTGAGGGAGGGATGTTTGGGACTGGGTAGTTTCAGCAGTGGGAGGCTTTAGACTGCCTTTCTCAGCCACCCAAGGAAGTTCAAGACTAGCGAGTTTGTGGAGCAGAGATGAAAGACTATTAAAGACGTTTTAATAAGGGTTTAAATTCAGGGGTTAAGAAAAAAGGGGGGCTCCCTGGGAGAAACTAAGACACACCTTAGGGTATGGGTGTGGCTTCTTGAAGAGCCACGATTGTCTCAGCATTAACTATGTAAATACAACATCTCAGAAGATCGCTAAGAATTCTCTCCTCCTTTTTCTCCTTCTCTTAGTAAAATAAATTATGGGGTGACTCCAGAGATACCTTGGCTAGAATCTTAAAATCAAAGGCTGAGATGGCCAGGTGGCCGTCAAACCTTAGGACCTGATTTCTGTCTCCAGGACCCACGCGGTAAAAGGAGAGAACCGACGCCCACAACTTGTCCTCTGACCTCCAAAACGATCTTTGCCCCGGTTGTAATGCCTCCTGCCTAGAGGGATGGCATCACTTCCGTTGCTCAGCGGGATCCAATTCCACTTCTCCCTGACTTCTCTTGTCTGTCTTCCTTGTGTCTTTACCCAAGTGCCAGTCAAGGACTTTCTTTCCCTACTGCACCAGGTTGTTAACACAAATGGAACCGCTGACGCACTTGTTTCTCGCATAGGTCTGATGGAGGGGTAGCCTAACTGTGTCACCGGATAACCCCACCCAACATTAAAAGCCAGACCGGAGCTGGACACGGTGGTGCATGCCTTTAATTCCAGAACTTGGGAAGCAGAGGCAGATGGGATCTCCGAGTCCCAGGCCAGCCTGGGCTGCAGGGAGAATTCCAAGACAGTCAGGGCTACGTAGAGAACCCCTGTCTTGAAAAACTAAACGAGGCGGTAGTTTATGCTAAGAGGATGACTCCTGTGCACCGGTGAGTACTACAGACGCTGGCTGTGTAACCAGAATTCGACTTGTGCTACCTGTCGCTTACAAAAGCCAATGAGCAAGGCAGGAATTTAATCCTAAAGTTGTGCTTTATTCAGTGTTAGGTCCTTACCTGAAAGAGGCCGTGATTGGCATACCCTGCCTTCTACCTAGGGGCGGGGCTTCCCCTCTCCCAGAGGCCTTCACTAGATAATCCAGACATTTGCTTCCTCCCTTGCCCTTTTCTCTCTCTCTCTCTCTCTCTCTCTCTCTCTCTCTCTCTCTCCCCCACCCCCTCCCACGCTGCTCCTAATAAATCTGCATTTATATAATATAGCGTCATCTCGACATTAGCTCATTCCAATAATTTAACCAATCACAGAGAGCCTTGGCTAAAAGCCAAAAATATCCTTAGTCCTGTGAGTAGATTCATCCTTGTCAAAGACCAAAGATGGCGAAATTGTTTAAGCCAAAATATCTTTGGTCTGCCTAACCAGAAGTCAGGGATATAAGAAGGGAGGCCTGGGTTTTATTTGTTTTTCTTATTTCTCTTATCCTAAACCGGCACACACACACACACCCTTTCTGGACCCTCTATGCAAAAATATGACTGAAACTATAATCCAGACACCTATTCCTTAGGTAAACAACTTTGAAATTGGATCTCTGGGGTTTCACATTGAAAATGGGTTATAGCCTGATCCGCTCCAAAAACTAGAACATTACATAAATTGTCTTCTACCTTAAGAGTTAATCCAGTTGGGCCTGTGAATCATCTGGCCAAAAAGTACTCCTCAGGAAGTCTGATTCACCATGTAAGAAGATGGGTTGAATAATTATCCCTTTAATGAGATTACGTGCTTAGACTTCAAGGAAACCCTTCTCCTTCAGTCACTGGCAGACTTCTATCAATGTGGCCTGCACACTTCTTTGAGTTACTCAAGAAAAATTACACTTTTCATTTTTTCTTTTATCTTTTTCTTTTGGATACAAAAGCCTGGGCCTGCTTTCCCTGACACTCTGGGCTTTGTCATTCATTCTCTTAACCCATCCAAGCCATGTGGTAAATTGTGAATTTCCACTGCAAACGAAAGACTTTCTTCCTCTTCTCCACCTCCCTTCTCACAGCAGTGCCTGGGGTTACCAGCTCTCCTGTGAGGGGAATGATTTTTAATAAGCCACTGTGATTCATAACAGGCTTCAAAGTTGGCTTCAGATAAAGGAGGCCTGCATTTCTATTTCTCAGAACAGGAAACTGCAGTCCATGGAAACCAGATGCAATAACTCAGTAACCTACCTAAAAACCAGAAACAATAACTTAGTAAAGTCCCCAAGTACTTGACCAATCAAATTAAAGGTCAATTAGAAACACTTTGTCTAGCTAGTCAAAATGATAATGTTACTTGGGCACTCTTTGTTACCTGGGCACTCCATGAAGAACCAATCATGAGTTTCCCTGTATTACCTTAGAGCAGCACCAACCAATTAACGTAAAGATTACCTAACCACATTGGGAAGTCTCCTAGCTGTCTTTAAATTGAGCCTGTGTGCTCACTTCAGAGTGACCGTTCTATGGAATGTGGCCCCTGCATGCTGGCAATTTCTGCAGAATAAACATTCCTTGCTTTTGCACACTGCCTGAATCTAAGGTCTTCCTTCAGCGACTCCTGGACCTAACACCTGCCCCTTTGTTTTTCTCTTCCATTGTAACCAAGCTTCCCTTGTAGTTTGTTTCAATTATTTATTTGTTTGTTTGTTTGTTTGTATTTCTCGAGATGGGTTTCTCTGTGTAGCCTTGGCTGTCAGTCAAAATCACTCTAAAGACCAAAGTGGCCTCAAACTCAAGAGAATTCACAGATCCATCTGCATCTGCCTCCCAAGTGCTGGGATTAAAGGTGTGCAGTCACCATCACCAAGCTCAAAATTCTTTTATTCACATGACTAGGAACCCTAAGAAGGGAACCCCGGTTCCCCTAATGACATATCTTCTTTCAGATAGTGATGTGCCCCTTCCTCCCTTTGAACCCCACAGGAGGAAAAAAGGTTTGGAAAGTTGCTTAATCACCCTCAGTAACAGGGATTTTGGTCTGAAGTCCTAGTCCTTGTGATGTGCATCAAAATAATTTAAACCATTCGCATAGAACATATGTAACTACAGTGCAGATCAGAGAACACTGTCAAGGTGTGAGAGTGGACAATGGCCAGAGGGTCTACTGTGCATTTCAGACAGCCTGAAGTTTCTAAAACAGACAACTTTCCTGGGCGTCTTTATCATGTCCAGGCGGCTGACAGAGAGTTTTTTGTAACTCTTTCAGGAATGATCTTATGAAAACAAGTTAGATATTTACTTTTTTTTTAGTTTGGTTTGGTTAGGTTTTGTTTTTTCGAGACAGGGTTTCTCTGGGTAGCCTTGGCTGTCCTGGACTCACTTTGTAGAACAGGTTGGCCTCAAACTCACTGAGACCTGCCTGCCTCTGCCCCTCCCCCCAAGTGCTGGGACTACAGGCGTGTACTCCTGTGCCCAGTCATTTACTACTGGCCTGGCCAGTAGTTCAGGGTGTCATGTCTTCCTCAAGGGTCATAGATAAGGCGCTGGCCCATTCTTGTTATCAATCAGTAGAGTCCCCACATCCCAATCCTTGTTTTTACACATGTGAGTTGGGGGTGGGGAGGGGATCTGACAGATAAATGATCTAAAAGCCTAAGACTAGCTGCTGGGAAACTCCTGCCAGAAAAGTTGACAGGCTGATAACATCTGCAGGTAGGCAGGTAGATTCTGGGACGTTCCCAACAAGGTCAACATATCAGGGAACAGATCTACAGATGGAATCTTCTACCTCTGAAGTTGCCTTTTTCTGCCCTATAAAACCCTCAAGCACCCTGAGCCTTTGTGCAGTCTCCACCTCTAAGGAGACTGCTGTCCTTTATTGTTCTGATAAAAGGACATCGTGCTTCTGTTAAAGTGACTCTCTTACCTTTATCTTCACAGTGGTTAGGTCAGTGGCTCTCAACCTCCGTGACCCTTTAATACAGTTCCACATGTTGTGGTGACCCCAATCACAAAATTATTTTCAATGCTACAGTTATGAATCATAATGTCAATATCTGATATGAAGAATATCTGATATGTGACCCTGAAAGGACCAGGCCTGACCCCCTCCCCCCAAAGTCATCAGTCCCAGGAACTAGGCCATACATCACCAATTCCAGGAATAAGAAAACCATGAAATTCCCTATCCAAGGAATAGCCTGGAGGTAACCACAAGAATGGGAAGGTTTCCTATCTCAGGGTGGAACATCTGCGCTGGGCAGCCCACCAACCTAACATTCCTGAGTTCTATAGATAGCTCACTCAATGTTAGTTATGTTAGTTAAC